TCTGCCCGGTGATTAATATCCTACACTTGGGCCAACTGAGCTTTGTTTCTTGACAACACTTTACCAGTTTCTGTTTCAAAGTATGGTTCTGTCACTGGACAGCGCCACTTGACTATGGATGGTAAGAACAGTGAGTTTTCAGTTCAAAACGCAACTGTGTGGAAAGCTGTTGTATGGCTTCGTTGACAAAATGTGAGCCATTGTCTGAGGACAGTTTTTCAGTGTGTAGATAAGAAGTGTGAGAAGTGGAGGCAGCTGCGGCTTTGGCAGCTGGATCTGCTCGAGCATTACCTAGAGACACCAGATCTCGGGCAGAAGTGTGTGCAGCACATTTGCAAACAGCAACACTAGCTGGTAGGAGGATGGCTTCTAACAAAACCGCAACTTTGTGATGGTGTAAAATGGGTTTACCGTCTGATTTGAGAGATTTGCAATGTTTCCAAAGGGCTCCAAAATCATGTACAACACCAAAGGCGTAGCGAGAGTCTGTGTAGATGGTAACAGTTTTGCCTTTTGCCCTTTTGCAGGCTTCAGTCAGGGCCGCCAGTTCTGCCGCTTGTGCTGAGTAATGAGAAGGCAGAGGAGAGGAAGAAACAACAGAAAATCCTGCATGGGCAGTTCCCCCATGCAGGATCTCTGAAAGCAGAACCATCAAAATAGAAAATGAGATCAGGGTTAGTGAGAGGTACATCTTTCAGGTCCGGTCTCGGAGTGCAGGTGTGTTGGAGCTGTTAGGTCTCTTTTGTGCGCGATGTCTCTCAGCGCTCTCTCCATCTCGGAGAAATTGGGAATAAAATGTTGACAGTAAGAACACATGCCCAGGAAAGAAGGAACTCGTTTTTTAGTCATGGGTTTAGGTGTCTCTGCCACGGCTTTAACCCGAGAGGAGAGAGAGATTGTGGTGTGAGGATGTGGCCTAAAAAGGTCACCTCCTGTTTTACAAACTGTAGTTTAGACAGGGATGCTTTATGGTCATCAACGTACTGCAGCAAGACTGAACCTGGAGAGAGTGTGAGAGGGGAGAGACTGCGAGACAAAGCCTGACAAAAAAGGGTCGAGCTGCAGGTCAGTCCTTGGCACAGGCGTGTCCATGTGTAACGCTTTCCTCCGAACTGGAAAGCAAACCAAAACTGGGAGTGTTTCTGAACGGGGATAGAGAAGAAAGCATTAGACAGGTCCACAACGGAAAACCATTTCACAGAAGAGGGAATCTGGCTGAGAATGGTGTATGGATTGGGAACATTAGGAGTGGAGGGCGATGATGGCAGCGTTTACAGCTTGTAGGTCCTTCACAAAACGCCACTCCGTGGGCTGCCCGGCTGGGCGATTCTTTTTTACTGGGAAGATTAGAGTCTGTACTGGTGAATCTCCACATGGAACGATAATGCCAGCCTCGAGGAGAGAGTTAAAAAACTGGTGTTATGCTCTCTATAGCTTCTTTTCTGAGTGGGTATTGGTGTTGTTGGGGTCTGTAAATTGACTTTGGGATTATCTGAACCGGTTCACAGTTTTTAATCGGGCCTACATCGTATTTGTTGGCTGCCCAGGTACGCGTGTAGCTGACATGATGGATGGACAGCAGGATGGGCCCTACACCGCTCTGTACAGTTACAGATAATATAAGGAGTTCATTTACGTATGGAATAATAAAGAAACCAACAGCTACCAGTATACATGCCCTATAAAGGCGGGGACTTCCTTTTACTTCCTGCTACAGGAAGATGGAAACTCTGCAGAAAAATAAAATGTACAAGGCAGATCAACTGAGGTGTGTTTCTTGTAAATCAGCTGCCTGAAACTGAAGGTGTAAAAGTAAAAGTAAAAGTATCATCAAATCACATGATTTCTGTGAAAAACAATCACAAAACATGTTAAAGTTCAGTTTACAGGCTACTGTGTGTACGGGAGGGGGGGGTTGACTGATGAATGACCTCAACAACAAACACTCACCATGTATGGGTAAAGGTGAGTAAAAAACTGGATACAACCAGATTTATCTAACTCAGACTGTAATTAAACCTTTGTGTGTGTAGCTCAGTCTGATTCTTGTAAACCAGCTGCCTTCACCTGATTCTCTCCTCTTTCTCTTCTGACACATCAGCTCACAGCACCTCCTGCAGGCGAGAGAGAGAAACACCAGACAGCACGAGGAAGGGAGTAACGTCATGAGGAAAGTGAAAGTGAAAGCACTGAGTTATAAATACAACCAGAGAGTGCACAGAGGGACATTGTGTTGTTTGACATCTCAGCTGTGAGGAGACCACCAGAAGAGGAAACATCAAAGATGGGTGAGTGCTCGTCTGATGGAATTTGTCTTGAGGGAAGTCAAGTTTTACGAATTTCCTCAACAGTCTGTTTTTCGCTGTTTTTTCTTTTAGTTGAACTTCATTTCCTCATTTCTCTGTGCTTTGTTTAACCAATGTCTTTATTTCTTGTTCTCATTTTATTACTGTATTCTACTATATACTCTCCAGATGTATTGTTTTTTTAGAGCGACTGAAACATCCCATCTTCTTCCCCCAGGGATTAAATGAAGTGATTCTGATTCTGTTTCTGTTAAAAACTGATCTTATAATAAACATATCATTTGCAGGTTACGGAGACATCATGAGAGTTCAAACTAGCGGTGCATCACAGCAAACGGCTAATCAGGACAATCTGCGATACTCAGGTAAGTAAGCTGCGAAACACAGGAGCTCATTTTATATGAAGTAGTTCAATACAGAGGTGCTGCTTCTCAACAGGCAAGGCAGGGGACAAATCCTCTAGATCAGTGCTTCTCAAACCTTTTAGACTGCGTACCACCTCTGAAAATATTCGGCTCTCCAAGTACCACCATTATGGTAGACGTTAAAATACACTGTAGGCCTATTTTTTTACACATATTTCACACAAGAGGCAAATTAATTCATTAAAAGAATATTATTTATTATTGACTGTTGGCAGCCACACTGTAGGACTTCTAAGGGCTAGCGCTAGAACTTCCCCTTAAACTAACACAACTTTTTGATTTGCCCAAATCAAAAAAAAGTGCAGCACAATAAAAATGACAACTTTATACCAACAACCTGTTTGAGAATATTTAATCTACAGGGTTTCCCACTAATAGACGATAAGTGGGCCCAAGAGAGGGAGAGAGAAAGAGAGAGAGAGAGAGAGGGAGCGAGAGAGAGGGAGAGAGAGAGGGAGAGAGAGAGAGAGGTAGAGGGAGAGAGAGAGGGAGAGAGAGAGAGAGGGAGAGAGAGGGAGAGAGCGCGTGAGAGTGCAAGCGCGCGCTCCACAGGCTCGGTGCAACCAGAGCCGCTTTATTATAAGTCTCTGCGTTCAACAACAGCAAAACTGCCTTTTTTAAAAAATCCCTCTCGACTCCTGCAGAGTGTTAAGACAGCAAAAGAGAAACGAATCACATCAGCTTCAGAGCTACAGAGAGAGAGAGATAGAGGGTGAGCGACTGTTCGTACATGCATCAAAACTGAAGCTTCTCCTGGCTCCGTTTTAAAAATGTACAGCTGCTTGCTGCCGATTGTGCTGAACTCCAATAAATAACAGAATATCTGTTAATGTAGGTCTACAGCTGCTTGCTGTTGTTTCAGGACTGAACTATAAACAGAATATCGAGTGGAACTTTTCAAAATGTGAGGCGTACTCCTGTTGTTCTTTATGTCTGTGCGCGCGAGCATAAATTGAGCAGATTAAAGTTGTTTGTTGCAAAAACTAAATTAATTTAGAGGAGAAAACACATTTGATATAAATACAAATCAAAGATACAAGACAGATAAGATAAGAGTATGACAAAAAAAAGAATTGTCGTTTTATGCTTTTTTTTTATGTGGAGATTTCTTTGCATACCACTACAGGGAGCCCGTGTACCACCATACTTTAAGTATGTTTTTTTCATGTGCTGGTAAAAAAAAAAAAAAGGTGATGGGACATTTGACTTAAAACAAACCTGGACCACTGAGCTTCCCACCATGAGCCTGAAATCAAAAGAAATCCAGTTTGTGAAAACGGTCAATATCAGATTTGGTCACTCCGAGTCTACTAGCACTTTTTTTCTGTGTTTTTTTTTTCTCTAAAGGTGTGAGAGCATCACACACCATGGCCCAGACTGATGCAGGCAGAATGGAAGAGTTCAGGTCTAAAATCAACAGAGTGGGGGCTCAGAAGGGAATTCCTCCAGCTCTGATTGCTGCCATCATCTCCAGAGAGTCTCGGGCTGGAAACGCAATAAAGAACACTGGAGGCTGGGGGGACCATGGCAACGGCTGGGGACTGATGCAGGTGCTCATAAATGCTACTTTTTTTACTCAAATGATTTTAGCTTAGCTTGATTTTCTGATGATATAACCAGATTTCCTTCAAACATATGTAGGTGGATGTGAATCCAAACGGAGGTGGGCACACTCCAGAGGGCGCTTGGGACAGCGAGGAACACCTCAGACAAGCCACGGGCATCTTGGTTCATTTCATCGGACGGATCAGTACCAAATTTCCTAATTGGAGCCCGGAGCAGAAGCTGAAAGGTTTGTTTCACTCACCCACTAAGTTGACACAAACACAACCCCCTTCACACAAATGGTTTGATCTTATGTGTGTTTAATTCTCCAGGTGGGATTGCAGCCTACAACATGGGCGATGGAAACGTCCATTCTTATGAAAACGTCGATGACCACACAACCGGTAGAGACTACTCCAATGATGTTGCTGCCAGAGCCCAGTGGTACAGGAACCATGGTGGCTTTTAACTGTTGAAGCCCACTCTGACAACATTTCCTGCAAGTCATTAAGTAAAAGTCTAAAAAGTTGTTTGTATGAAATCCTGAGGTAAATAAACATGATACAAAAAACAAAACCACAAATATCTCTGTTTTTTGTGCTTGATGGGTTTTGACCAAGTGGCAACTTTCGGTGTTGAAAAATGAAGCCAATACTGAAGTGTAAAATCCTGCAGTTCGTCGAGTGTCCACTAGAGGCTGGCTGCAGGAACATACACATACACAGGCAAAAAAGCTGTTTTTACAGAATAAATGAACATGTTTACAGCCTGGTACAAAAAACAAATAGGTCTGATTAGTTGTTGTCCTCATGTGCACACACTGAACGGGGGATGACTTTTTAAAAAATGTCTTGAGGTTGACTGAAAGTTAGGCTGAGACAGGATTTCCAACATGGCAGCTGCTGCTGATGATCCTCCAGCGCCACCTGCAGGAACAGATGGGTGACATCACTCAAGCTTCAATTCATATTTACAGTCTATGGTTTTAGCAGGGATTTTTTTTTCAAATGTTTATAAGACAAGTACAGAGATGGGCACAAGTCTCTCATTGCAAGTCCAAGTCTCAAGTCTTTGTAATTATGATAATAGTTAATAAAGTTGAGATATATACAGTATATACCTCTCATCTCATGACCTCTCGTCTCATGACCTCTCGTCTCATGCCTTCTCGTCTCATGACTCTCATCTCATGCCCTCTCGTCTCATGCCTTCTCGTCTCATGCCTCTCGTCTCATGCCCTCTCGTCTCATGACCTCTCGTCTCATGCCATCTCGTCTCATGCCCTCTCGTCTCATGACCTCTCGTCTCATGACCTCTTGTCTCATGCCTCTCGTCTCATGCCTCTTTAATTAATCTCAGAAACCATTGGGGGTCTAATGTTATCAATGTTTTTAAGCTGTTTACAGTTTTATTAAATTGCCCACGGTATCTATTTTTATTCCTGCACAGGTTATGTAAAATGTCTTTGTATACGTCTAGCTTTTGATACAGTTAGTCATCATGTGTAACTGGGACAAAAATAAATACATATGGTTTTCATGATGTTACACACAAATGGGTAAAACATCTTTTCAACAGAAGCCAGTTTGTTTCTGTCAAGGATTGCTATTCCAAAAAAGCCAGGATTGCATTGCGGGGTTCCACAGGGGTCCATTTTGGGACTGTTATTATTCCTTATCTATATCAATGATTTGTATAATGTTTCACACGTTCTGTCTCCAATAATGTTTGCAGATGGCACAACCTTCGTTCTCTCTCATTCAAATGTTGATGAGGGATGCTAATATTGGTTTAACTGATTATCTGAAATTGTTTAAATTGAATAAATTACCTTTGAATTAAAAAAAAAATCAAACTGTCATTTTCAGTGGCAAAAAAAATGATATTCTAAGGATTTGTCCAAAATTACAATAGAGACCATTTCAACATAGATTCCTTTGAGATGTCCCAGGTATCATCTACGAGATTTCTGGGAGTTTCTGTTGATGAGAATTTGAGTTGGGTTAGCAGGAAAATAAACAAATCTCTTGGTATCGTTCGAAGGGTCAATCATCTCGTCACCTCCAGTTGTCTCCTTCCTCGTTATTACAGTACATCATATCGTGCATATTGTGATGTAGTTTGGGCTAGTACTTTTCCTCGAATCTCCATACATTTCTGCTCCTCCAGAGACGCTTTGTCAGGATGGCGATCAGAGTCCCGTGCTTCTTCTGCTCCTTTGTTTCAGAAGCTCCAGATTCTCAACATTTATAATGTCAATATTTCTCAAATATGTGTTTCTATTTTTAAAACATCGAGTGAAGGGAATATCCCTGAGCACTTCAAGAGTGACTTTATTTTTAATTCCCAGGTCCAGTCATGCTCAACATGTGAAGCTTTAGTTCTTCATCCTCCGAAATGTTTGACTTTCAGAAGTCAGTTTTCGATTTGATTTAGAGGCAGCAAATTATGGAATAATTCCCATCTGTCAAAAACCTGCTGCTCAGTAAAATGCCTGAAACAACATTTAACTGCTATTACTCATTATCCATTTATTCATGGTTTTATCAGAAGTTTTTATACACAGTATTTTTTGTACTGGCTTCAAATAAGCTCTTTGAGTTTTCTGCCTCTTCCTGCACTGAATATTGTCGCGGCTTGAAACGGCAATCTGAACAGCGCTTTTGTCAGACGATTGCCAATGGGTTCTGAGATTTCTATTGTCCCTTCTTTTCTTTTAAATGTCCCAATCAGAGTTCAAACAAGGTGAGAAACTCATGTTCGTTGCATCGTGTTTATTAAGTGCGAGTATTGCAAGGGAAAGGAAAACATTACAGAGTATTTCCTTCAGAGTTTGCAGGACATTTTTTGGATCGGAAAAGCTGCGAACCATCAAAAGTCTGCATTTCTTTTGTACCATTTTGCTCTTTCCACAACGTCATTGGAGTAGTCTTTGCCTGTTGTGTTTTTATCCACTTCCCGGTAGCTATCGACTTTCCGATCCCCACAATTGTAGGCTGCAATTGCTCCTGCAGAATGGAATACAAACAGGAAACAAAGATACCGTATTTTCCGCACTATAAGGCACACTTAAAAGCCTTTAATTTTCTCAAAAAACGACAGTGCGCCTTATAATCCGGAGCGCCTTATATATGGATCAATTGGTTAATTGGTTGATCCATACTGGTCGTACATGGCGCTCAGCGACACTGACTCAGATAATGACGAGAGGGAGCCGGGCATGTTGGATGCCGTACTCGCCCAACTGTTCAATTCGGACACTGAAGAAGAAGAATTCGAGGGATTCGTGGACGGGGAATGAACTGAAAAAGTGAGCTTTACATGTTATACGTAACTGAACAATGTTGAGTTATGCACTAACGTTTGAATTAGCGGTATCAGACTATGTTTCTTTTACGTGTTTACAACTGAACAAGGCTGGGAGATATTGTGAATATGCACATTAATGTTTGAACAACGTTGAGTTATTGTGAATGCACTATGTACAATGTAATACGTATTTTATATATTCACAATATCTCCCAGCCTTGTTCAGTTGTAAACACGTTCTATTCTATGCGCCTTATAATCCGGTGCGCCTATATATGAAAACAGTTCTAAAATAGGCCATTCATTGAAGGTGCGCCTTATAATCCGATGCGCCTTATAGTGCGGAAAATACGGTAAGTAACGTGTGAAGACATGTTCAGGTGTGTGCAAGACTCCCGGTTCAGTACAACAAACCTTTGAGCTGCCTCTCCTTGCTCCAGTCGGGAAATTTGTCCCGGATCTTTTCAATAAAATCAACCAAGATCCCCGTGGCTTGGCAGAGGTGTTCCTTGCTGTCCCATGCACCCCTTGGCTTGTGCCCACCTCCCTTTGGATTGACATCAACCTACAACATATGGACGAGCACTGCTGTAAATGTCTCTCCATCTGAGGATGTAGATGATGATGATGATGTGAGATAAACAGAAGCATTAATTACAACCTGCATCAGTCCGAAGGCGTTGTACGCTCTTCGGCTCTGGTCATAGTCCCCCAGCCTCCAGTACTCTTGATTGTATTTCCAGCCCGAGACT